AGTAGATATATATATATATATATATATATATATATATATATATATATATACGTGTGAAACGTTTACACTCCCGTCCGCATATAGTCTGCGCCAGGTAACTGTCCCCTGGTGGGATTTAATCGAGCGCGAGTCTTCTGAAAGACTGTACCGAGTATCCCAAACGTAAAAGGCTAGGGCGATTCAAGACTCCACACTAAAACCGGATCTTGCCTCCGAGTATTTTGAGCGTCCACAAATTTTGAATAAAGCAATCTCATGCTTTTTCAGAAAATAAATGACTCGTTAATTATATATAAGCACTGCCAATTTTCGTTGCGCTATTATTATTGTAAGAGTCAGCAAAATTTATCGGTCTACGAGAATTTTGAATTACGTTCTAACGTAAATGGTTTTTTTCATCAAAGCACATGCGATCTGGTCTATAAGGATTTATATAGCTAAGAGGTTGTCGCACCATTAAAAATTGAAGCAATAAAAACTAACAATTCTAAATTGCTAGCACGCTTATGGTCCAAGCAATTTTCATCCCTCCAGCCGGAAAGAAATGGAACAATTTATATATCAATCGCATCTAATGCTTTATATTAAAGTGCGTTCACGTACCACGTATTTCACATGCGACCAGCTCCTAACCTAACCCAGTCTCTATAATCGAATCATACCGCACTCATTTGTTTAATGGTCCATTCCGCTTGATAGCTACAGACGACAAGTGACTTGCAAATGTCTTATTTTCGACGCGACGTTACGTGCCCATAAGGTAGAAGGTAGAATACGCAAAAAAGGGGAAGCAGTGCGATTACGAGCTATGCCGGTTGAACAAGCACAGTCGAAACCCCAAGAAGGGTGAATTTTAATGAGAAAGGTCACAGGTCACGCTTTGGCCTCTTATTTTTATCATCTTTTTAAAATCGACCAACTGTTTAGAGTACGATACGCAAATTTTCAGACATGCACCAGTAACATTATATTCGATATAGAATATTACCAAGAGAAATATTCAAGGCTTATATATTCCTATGAAATTGTCTAGAGGAAAACAGATAACTTCCTAGACACTGCACGTGACATCGACTCGTGCGAACATATTCACAGCGACGTCGAGTACGGAAATGCGCCTCTCCCTGTAATGCCGATAATTAACAAGGCCACGAACGTCATTGAATTAAGCCGAGTTGCACCCGGCATAGTCAAAGGATGCTCGTATCATTTTCACGTTTGACTTGCACCGATACATAACATCTCCATATAATTGGCATCCTTTGTTAAAACCGAAAAGCATAGAAAATAATTCCAAAAGGTTTATGAAAAATTAATTAGCGCGCGTCGTGATTAAATAATTTGCATTTCTAAAACAGTTATGTCATAATTTAATAGCGCTACTTCACTCATTACTCAATGATCAATTAATGACCTGGCAAAAATTACGCAAGCATAATACTCAACTACGTTATTTTCGATACGCAGAATGGATGAGTGTTAACTTGGTCGCGTGTGGAATGTAAATAGTTAATGCGGATTTGATCGTCTATCGTAGGTATATATATAGTTGTGTTGTGATATATCAGTAACGCCTTATTCCCAAACTGCGATAACGTCATCTCCCTCGAGTGACTTCATTCTCATATAGATTTTCACAGGAACTACAATGTACGATGATTCATTATATTTCAGCCACTACACCAATCAGGTAAACCCACAACAACGTGGTAATCAGCTACTTGTAGTAACCTTACGGAGTTGGTGACGTAGAAAATTCACATGTAAGTCACGATCTATAGAATTCACGTGATTTAAGACAGGTTGAGCACCACTATTATGGAACCTAAAGAGACATCCGGCTGAGTGAGAAATCCCGGATAAACTACCGCAAGCGGCGTATATACGTTGAACGTACCTTTCCTAAACTTTACACACAGATTAGGATTCACGTTTCACTGAGAGAAGACAATGTACGTAAGACATTGCTAGAATTTTTGGAAAATATTTGTCCAGCGAGTTTATTATTTTTTGTTAATATTAAAATAAACATTGAATAAAATGAATAAACTTGAATATGCTACCTAGTCGTAGACTTATAGGTAAACCAATGTGGTTGGCATCCATGATGAGAGAAAGAAAACTGTACAGGGAGAGCGTCATTTCCGACAGCTGCAAATCCTGGCTGCGCACGAGGATCAGGCACAAGCCATGGACCGTTTTCTCTGAATCACGAAACATCTTGCAAGGACAGCTGCTCTTGAAAGAGAAAATAAATTCTGTGTGTGGCAATTCGAAAATGTAGGACGCCATCGTTCAGGTAAAGAAGACTAACAATTAATCCTTACCCGCTGTATTACCTACCATATTCTCTGTATTATACACACAGAGATCTTAATATACAATCCACGTCTCATGGCTACACTCTTACTTATTTGCCATGAATAATTCGATAAAGAAATTGAAATATAATTAGAGAAACCGTCGTAGTCTCCCCAAGGATACACTAACCAATATCTAACTTATATTATTATTATATTAGAACCATTATTTTCGAATATCTTATATACGACGTATTTCGATTTCCAATGCAGTAAATGACCTTGCAACTAGTATAAATTATACTTATACCCACATACCAAGACAGTCTTCATTATCATTTAACATAATATACTGTAAACACTCTTATTGAAAAGAAATCTACAACGAAGAATTTATACAGTTACCTTGAGGTGTATTCCATACGATATTGGCATGCCTATAATAATATATTCGTGTATACAGATAGACCGTAGGAAACAACAACAGTTTCCACAGTCGAACCTGCAGGAGAACAACATACCGAAAGTCGAAGTCCATTTCCAGCATGGGTAGTGGCTCTTTCAAGCGGTTGGTGGGCGGACGGATGATTTCCCATTTTAATCCGATGTCTTCGAGACGTGCAGTACGTAAAATGTACAAACAGGTAGAACTGTATTTATAGTTGTACGAGGATGTCACGTACGACAATATCATCGAGTAGCTCCGTGTGTGTTACAGGTGTGGCCTCTGCGTGTCTTTTCGTTGCGAAGCACACACTCTATCTTGAAATATCTTCGAGGCACACTGACAAAACAGACCTCTGCGGTAAAATTTACCGTTGCGGCGAGAGTACTTGTCGCAAATCAATCCAGTGGCATTAACACCACGATAAGATCTATGTCCAATACGATAGTCGAACACATTCACTAGCGGAGAATGAAAATCTGATCAATCACTTTTCGCGTGTATCTATACGCGCACTGAACTGCTCTCGAGATGCAAGCAAATCCGGTATTTCTCGGTTGGTGCGGGCACGCGGAGTGGGCTCGAGAGTTTTAAGACCGGCTTCGAGAGACACTTCTCCATTACGAACATCTATACTATTATAAGGTACACTGTGTTTCACTGTAAGAAACAGAGTAGTAGAGCCTGGTAGCTCCTCTTCGTTCACTATAGTCTCCTGTCGGTTTCTATACCTGCCGTAGAGACTGAAGCCGCACTAAATGTACAAAGAATTTTTTTTTCACGAATGACACTTTCCACCCTTGCACTTCTAACCGTCCAATACGCGATATTGTGACTTGTCACGTCGATGGTTTTCTGGACGTTAAAAGTCGATTAGAAACTTCAGGTCCGTCTGCCGTTCCTGGTAGCACTGAGTCGAAGAGGTAGGGAATAAGTTTGTTCGTAGAGCAGTGGACAAGTGAAGTGCGGAGTTGTAGTGTAGAAGTAAATTGAAGAAGAGGAAGTGAAAGGTATGGAAAAAAGGATGCGAGAAGGGAAATAAAGAGGATAGGAGAAACGTTAAAAGCGTTGGCGGCAAGAACGTAACGAAGCCGTAGAGCAGAGGCCGAAGCCGGCCGGCGGTGAGGCAGACAAGCAAAGGCCTCTTCCCTTCTCGCAGCGAACTCTCAAACTGGCCATACGACTTGCGCCACGCTGACGTCACGTCTATACCTAGAGTGGAACCAACCAGTCTTTTCCCGACAGCAACGTACCTACAATAGTGGGGAAGCATCGACGATGCAAGAGACCGTTCTATCTGTTCTTGCCTTCTTCGAATTCTCTGGCTCAACGGCCAGATCAGTTTGGCTGAATTGATAGTACCCTTGAAGGTATGATACAATGCCCTTGTATTGTTCAATTAATAAATTAATCTACTCATTCAATAAAATAATATTCGAATATTTAATTATTCAAATGTAAATACACTCCCAACTCATGTTACATTCGAATTATTATTCTCTTAAAATAATCAAGTGACTCTTTCATGGTTTGCATCACGCGCCGTTGAGAATCGAATGCCAGTTTTTGGGTTCCCACGTTTTTCCGTTAGGCGCGTCACGCTCAGCTACGTCCGGTGACCCCACCGGAACTTCAAGCCCGTTTTGCTCGTTTCTCCCGTTGATCGCCCGCTGATCTCGCGAGATTGAAAATGCTGCTGACGATTTTAATACAGTCCGATCCTCTTAGAAAGAAAATAAGTGGCTTCGATACCTTTAACGGCAGGAGGTTAGTAGAAATATTTGAAAGAGTGAGAGGGTAAAGAGACGGGAATATCCCTACCTGCCAAGTTGTGTCTGTTCAAATGCTAATAGCTACCGTCACTGTATTGGTAATTTTATTTTTATTTTCCTCCTCCACGTGTACCGTATCGATCTACTTGATCGACCGAGCTGGATTGCGAGACGATAACGATTCTTTCGAAACTTAGCACACGAGCATCGATATCAATTTAAATGAAAGCGAATACCGCTTCTATATGATTGATATGCGCCAGAGAACCTGTGGCGCCATCTGTACACTATCATAGGTGTATTAAGCCCACAATTAGCTGATGACGAATATCGTCATCGTCGTCGATCACTGTTGACATTGATGAATTCTTGACGGTTGAAGCAGCGAAATAAAACTTTTTCCTTTACAATATCTCCTCCCTTGTAATTGCACCAACTCATTTCTTCGATATTTCACTCACACTGAAAGAGTTATTACTTCGGTATCGCGGTTGTCGCGAACAGATTAAACGTATCAATATTACGTTATCGCAATTATCGCGATGTTACGCGCCGATACAACCCCCCCAAGACTTAAAACGTGAGTGCCAGTGATGCCTAGGCTGGGCCTGGGTCTTGCTACCCTACCGGTACGTCAGTACCGTATGTACTAACTCCAGGCCCCCGGGAACATTCTCACGATTGGCTTTCACGCAATTATTTCACATTTCACGTAAGAACTTTATAAGAATTTACTGAAGTCTCACTGTAATAACTTATACTTTCAATACACAATTATTTGAATTCTACGTTGTAATATTTTCCATAAAAAATAATTTTTCCCTTATCTCAAACGAAGGTGTCCAAGGTGACTGTGGTTAAGAATACGGTGGTAAGTTGGTGTCATGGTGGGGAATGCAGCTGCTGCGGCAAATGGTCGTACATCTGCTGAGACACAACGAGAACTGCACCTAAAGCTAGTTTATTGCCAGAGACCTTTTGCAGGACGGGATGAAACGGCGAAGCGCAGCGAGAAAAAATGTTATTCCATGAATATCCTAAGACTGCACTCAACATTGCAGTGCAGTGCGTCGATGCGCTTTAAAAGATGCGCTGTGTCAGTCACATCTTCTTTACATGGTTCGCGATTAAACATGAAGAAAGGAACGAAGAAGCAGAAAGCAAATTTCTATTTCAGCTTTGTATTTAACTATCCACGCGAATCGGTAGAAACCTAATGAGTTTCCATGACACCATAGACAGCCGTTAGTTTCTCCATAATTTGCAGAGCGCCGAATCACGAAAGTTAACTAGAATTAACAGGCGATGAATAGGTTGAATCGATTGGATTCCAATGAGATTGCAACAGTGCATTTACTCATTTATTATTAGTTGATCAGTCATCGGTCGTTACTCGTGTATCCATTAATTGCGTAATGGCCCACTCCCTTGATTGTCAAATTAATACCGTACCGAGTTGGAATGTTTCATTGATGAACAGATTCATGAGTTACGAGATATTATTCAGTTAGACATTACAATTACACTAAGTAGTTTCCCATTTCGCAGTACACCTGCCATTTACAAGAGTAGCAGCGTGCTAAAATTCTCTAGGGCAAAGGGCCACAGCTAAACAATACAGTAAGACCCCAGTTAACGCAGAAGAAACGTTTTTAGTATTTACAGTGCTAAACGAAAGGGCATCAAAATAGATACACGTGGTAAGCGGCGAATTCGTTGAATCGAGGAATTAGTATTTTACCGAACATTTGCAAGTACGGCTATGACAAAACAGCGTAGAACGAGGTAGTATTAACCAGAGTCCTTAGTGTATTAGGAAATTTACAGTTACGGGTCAGCCTTACGAATTTAAGATACCTGGAATGTTGAGTGCGTCTACATAATGGGTACTTGGGTAAACTGGCCGTTGATATGGTCAAGGCCCTTTCTTTTAAAGTATCTGAAAACCTGAAACGAACTGCACCATCGTGCTTGCTCTAGAGCTCAGTATTTTTAATTAGTTAAGTATACGAAAGCGTGTTATTAAATATTACCTCATGATGTAAAAATACAAACACTCCTCATTCAAAAGCGGCTACAGCCATTGCATTCTATTTGTCAAGTTTCACGAGAACATAGAGTGCCAAACCCTGTAGCATCTATCACTCAGCGACCATTCTTTTATTACTTCTATATTGTAGAATTGACATAAATGAAAACCCTATTACTACCATATAACATTCGTAATTGTATTATATTGATACAATAAATCTTATCAATTACTCCCACAGTTTTTATTGTGTCTGTTAATTTTCAAATAGTAATTTACACGGTGATCACGTGTCTTTTTGAATATGTTTGGAAGTACAGGTAAAAATGGTATGGTATTTAGTTCCTTAGTTCCAGTTTCCAGGACTTCTTCTCTTGGGTATTGGCAGTTATGAGGACAGTTAACATTTTCCAGGGTGGTCCTGGAACAATTCTATATTCAACATATACTTCCGGGACCGTTAAGCGGCACTCACACCGAATTTAAAAAAAAATTTATCCTGGACACTCGGAGTTGTGACGAGCTAAGAAATAATTCGTTAGGTTAGATTAGGTTATAATTTCAATGTCACATGTCCCATGGTTTAGTTTAAAAAAGAAATCAGCTTGCCGTTGTGAGTGGCGCATGTCCTCGAAACTGCCCCTTCACATATTTATATATATATATATATATATATTCCGCACTATGACGATGATTTTTCAGATCAGCTTGCACAATTCCTGTCGGTGTTCATTTCTATTTCTTCACCATGGATAATTGCCTTTCAGTCTAAGTACTCTTATCCAGCACAACGTTGCATCGTAATGGCAAATTAAACAGTGGCGTTCTCGGAAATTTTCTCGAAATGGCAATAAAGCAACGCATAGCATGTTCTTAGGATGTTTATGTTGAAACCAAATGACATCGATATACCATATGGAATCCAATTCTTGGCGAATTCCTTGTCAGAGGTTCCATATGAGAACATTAATTAGAGTATTATTGCGGTATCACTATTGAAGCCTACTACGTCACATCCGTCTCGAATAGAGCCCACGTGCATCCTTAACGTACCATATGGTCATGGATGAAACCACATGCCACAATATTCCCATACGCTCTAGGGAAACGACAGGTAGAACCGGACATGTGCTTCATGGTATAAATGCTGGAATATATTCATACAGGTACGCAGCGTACAATTATATATGTGTGTGTGTGTGTGTAAACGAAAAAATTGTTATTTATAGATACGGTTTGGTCGTTTACACTTACTGTAAACTGCATAGTCGCAACTAGACAAATGCCTCGCGTTTGAATTCCGTGCCGCTTATATGTTGTTAAAATGTGGGCGAAGCGGCTTGAGGAGTGCGGAAGTCGAACGCGTCACGGTGCCTGTTTTTTCATATTGTTTTTACGGTATGGTTGATTATATAAACGATGTTTTAATACAGCGATATATATTTACGATGACAGGCGTCTTACAATATCTGTTATTGATAGTCAATATTATTCTAAGCGTACATCGTGATAGGGAGTATTGCTAATTAAATAATACGTCACTTTTTTATTCTCTTTGACAAACATATGATAACTCAAAAATATAATTTTTAATTAAAATTGTACGTATTCGATTCCCCCTGATCAATATGAATATTTACACTGTTATCGGTGTTTGAGAACTGTCGTAATCGATGTTAAACAAACTACGAAGACGTTTAACCTATTAACAACGAAGATCATTGATTTTTCAACATGTTTGTGAGCCTAAATTTCATGCCTTTGACAGAGGAATAGATGGATCAAGGTCAGTGTTCCTTATGTTTTCGAGTGTGCTCTGACAAAATTTCGGGCTCAGAATTGAGAATTTTTAACTAAAAAATTAAATATGGCGGCATTTGTATAAAGAAATGAGAAAAAATTGTACAATTTCATGTTTATGATTTTCTTTTCGTACTGAAATAGATAAAAAATCTGGAATATCCCTCAACCATCAGCGCACAAAATTGTTGAAGTTTAATAATACATTTTTTGATATTCATGTTGATGACATTCCGTCTAAAAATAGCGGCTGAAATGTAAGAATATCCTAAAAATCGAAGTTTTTCGATAATATCGCTAATATAATCATCATCTAAACTCATAATAAGCTACGAATATCCTAATAAATGAGAGATATTAGGTAGAAACTTTGATTTTTAGGACATTTTTATGTTCCAGCCGTAATTTTGGAATGGAAAGTCAGCAACATGAATATAAAAAAATTTCCTATTAAACTTCAACAATTTAGGCCACCAATGGTTGAGGGATATTCCAGATTTTTGACCTATTTCAGTCCGCTAAATATCATAAACGTTGAAAACGTACAATTTTTTCTCATTTCTTTATACAAATGCCGCCACATTTAATTTTTTAGTTAAAAATTCTCGATTCTGAGCCCGAAATTTTGTCAGAGCACACTCGAAAACATAAGGAACACTGACCTTGATCCATTCATTCCTGTCACAGGCATGAAATTTAGGCTCAAAAACATGTTGAAAAATCAACGATCTTCGCCGTTAATGAGTTGATGGGCATTATCATACGGATTTTCTAGAAAGTTATATTATTCGCACAACATAACTGACATATAAGAACTCATTGATTTTAATTAAGCTATAAATTGCATTGTTTGCATGCAATATATGAAGAATCAGAAAATATTTTTTTGAACATGTCCAAAATATATGGGACGGGAAAAAGGAAACAGAGTAGCGCAGCATCCGGCTTACTGCTGCTCTCATTCCTTATGTGAGAACATAACGGACATGTGGCATACCAGTGATGTCTTTTTCGTACAAAAAACCATAGAGACCGTACAGAAAGACTATTCAAATAGTATATAAAAATGATACTTCTGTAATAATCATTTTTTTTTACTAAACTAGATGATAAAGGGATTTGATAACGCGATTCGGAATTACTAAAGACTAATATAAAATTCTGCATCAAGAGCGGACATTATCTGATCGTTGAGAGCATGGTTCCACGTCACTTCCTTGCACAATATATTATTTACAGTGGGCAAGGAGCCAGAGTCTTAATCGTATTTTACGATTTTGGTTATAGCCAAATGTCAAGGGAGTAGTCGATGGATATTTATTGTTCTACACAAAATATATGTATACTGGTACACCACTAAGGATTGCATTTAAAATGTTTATTGCTCCAAGAATCACACAGGAAATTTATTTCCGAGGAAATCCCATTTATCTTGACAAAAGGACTCATGTTTTCTAGACGCAAGAGGAGGAAAAGAATCTATTTTAAACACAAAAGTTCATGTTGCTGCGATTGACTGTCTGACGTGAGATTCTTTAGATTTTTAATATCTGTCAGACACAATATTGCAAATATTCTCGAACACTTAAGGAGGCAATTTTAAGTTTTATTGCTACATTATAACTCACAGCTGATAACGAAGTTTGCTCCAACTCATAGAAATTCGCCTTGAACTATGTTACATCTGTGTTACACCTGCTATTTCACCTGTGATAATAATCTTAAATATTTAGAACTAAGAATTACAGTTGATTGGATCCTAATCTGAATTCGTTGTATAAATAATTACTTTGTCGATAAACGATTAAAACGAAGATTGCATCACTAATAGGAGTGGACCAATACGATAACGATATTAGCTCTATAATCCACGTGGCTGATTTGAAGCGTAACAAGAGGGGCGAGAGTTAAAGGGGCTTTGCGCAAAAGGGACACCCTTACGTCTGAATCCTATTTCTAACAGCCCTAACAAAATTCAGGGTGAATGACCACTGAAAGCAACGTATCGTACGTACGAAATTGTACAGGGTGTCTAAACAATTGATTTCACTTCTCGTTATAAGCAAACAGAGCTATAATTAACAAGATATTTCATAAATATCCAAATGTTTTATTTAATTTGAATTTACGTTAATACATATCAATGAAACTTACCTAGTGCGTCTGCTGAGTGGTGAAATATAGTAAATCCAAGTTTGCCTAAAACATATAAAAAGTAGCAGGTATTAAATAAAACTCACATTGAGCAAATGAGTGATATATCTAATAGTAATAAATCAAAAATACTCGTTAAAGTTTTATAAGAAATATGTTCGATCTATTCAGATCGTAATTGCTTAAACAGAAAGAAATCATAAAGTACACATAAATATGTGTAACATAATAACGTACAAAGAAATGATAAAGGGTCTGACAATTTAAGATATTCATCCTTTAGACCAGAAAAGTCTATAAATATAATCAAAGTAAAAGTACACATATAAAGTCAAGGAAGCTCACGATACTCCTGTAAAAGTCTTAAAGTTTTTCATATTTTAACGTAAAATTTCAATGACGATATTTATTTAAATGCAGGGTCGATGCACGAGTGCATAAACGATCGGGTTTGATACATTACAAAGGAATCCCTGAGTACTCGTAGAACGTCTAGCGCGACACAAAGTGCATACGCTGCTTTATAACGTGCGCAATAGTTCCCACGACACCCTTGGCTCTCCGCTACTATGGGAACGTTTTATATAGGGGTGAATTTTTCATAGCATTGTAGAGGCATGAATATACTGACAAAGGTGACCCGTCGAACAATTACAAAAAACCTTTAATAATGCTTAATAAAATACCTCGCGTTTGTCACTGTAGATTTTTGTAATGTAGAAGTCGTCATAGATTGTCCCCCATTCGAATGCACCCGAACTACCCTTAAATTAGTATCTGATCTAGTTTTATTATCTGAAGGAAAATTGGTAATTGTCCAAAAAATATAAACTATCTCAGGTCTAAGATAATAAATCTGTCAAATGCAAGTTCTTAATTTTCTTTCTGCACAATAAGCAGAGATTTCCGCGAGTAATTCATTTCCACCCTCGCTAACTACCCTCTAGGGGGTGGTGTGAATGTACACAAGAAGATATGGAGGGTAGCAATTAAGGGTTTGGCTGAACGCCGAAGTTCTAACAATGTCGTACTGCACGTAGCAGTTCAGATTAGGGGTGACTAAGGTACTTCCGGATGTTAACCGGATGTTGCACAAGGCCATTTTTTTATGACTTTAACAATGCTTAGAAAAATATTACAAGTAAGAAATAGGAAAGTAAACCGTCGTGTGGATTAGATATTTTTTGTCGTATTGATTCATATCAACATAAGTCGCGTCATAATTAGGTTAGCTGTTAAAATAGTAATTAATAACTTTTATTGCAAAGACGGCACAGATAACACTACTATAATTCGCAGATTGTAAATTATTTGATTATTTAATGTTTACATTTTAGCCATATTTCCGAACATATGGTATATTATTTTCGCGTAGAATGCAAATGGTTCAACATTATTTGTGAGCTCTGCTTAATTACATTAACCGTTTGGTATAAATATGGCAAGCAATCGTAGAAGTTTCATAGTCGAAAAAGTACTTCTTCTCAAGCAACATGATGAAATTATCAGCTGTCTTCTGTGTCCTCCTTCTGGCTTCTGTAAGTAACAAATTAAAAATACAAATTTTACTATTAGGGATCTCCTAATAGTTTGTCATATGAAATTCAATATTTCTTTTTTTTACAGTATATTTCGTAATTCTAGCACTGCATTAAGAAATTACGTTTATTACAATTTTCAGGCCAGCCAGGGTTTCAGCGTCGGTGGCAACTCCATGTTATCGTCGATTGCAGACATCAAGAATAAGGTGGATTCTACCGTGAAGTCTGCTATCGGATCTGTCGAGGCCGCTGCAGAAAAAGGTGTGGAAGAACTGAAGGAACTAGCTGACGACGTTAGCGATAAAGCCGTATCCAGCATTGGCTCACTTCAGGACGATGTAGAATCCGTAGTCGCCAAGGTCAGTATCTTATCCAACCTAGTGTAATTTAATTTGAACGTAACTCAACAGTAATCTACAATTATTGTATTAATTTCTTCGAAGGCGGAATCTCAGGTTGACGATATCCTCTCCAAAGCCTCTGATGCGGCCGCCAAATCATGCTCAGGTCTTACTGATACCCTCTCAACCACTGCCGTTGACGTCGTGAACCAGGCCACCAACTGCGTTACGAGTAGAGTGCAAACTGCCTACGGATATATAGCTGAGTTAAGAGCCGAAGTGAAAAGTCTCGTTTCCAAGCTTCTTTCTATTTCATCTGCAACTGTCGACTGCACTACTGACGTCACGTCGCTCTCTGAAACTGTACACGCCTTCCTTTGCGTCAACAAAGTAAGTAATGCAGGACGTGTAAAAGTCCCATTTAAACGTCAAAATTTATAATTGAGACACAGTATTACTATTAGAAGATGAACTTATAATTTTGTATACGCTTTTTTCAGCAATTGGCTAGTGCTACTGTTCAATCCGCCTCCAGCGGCGTTACCGTTGCAAGGAAGGTCGCCAAATTGTCCTCCCTTATCAGTAGTCTTCAAGTCCAAGTGCCCCTTTGCGTGGTTAAAGATACCGCCGGTGTCCTTGCACAGCAGGCATCCAGCGCTGTCAAGAATGTTGGCGCTTGCGTCAAAAATTTAGCTTCATAAACTGGTTTTAACGTAAAATTGAAAACACAGTTTATCGTATCCCTGCTGCCAGGATATACACAGTTTGTTTAAATATCAATAAAATATTTTATTGGTACTTAAATTTCTTATACCTGCTTATACTTATTCCTCACTCATCTATTACGGCATCTTGAACTTGACCACTGGTCCAAATGCACCGAGAAGGGCGTCATAATTGCTAATCAACAAATGCGAAAAACATCAAAAGAGTTTCAAAAAGCTTTCCAGCTTCTGGTTGGCACAAGAGGAAGCTGAAGATTTTGCTGCCGCATAAAGACTATAATCGCAGGAATAGCAAATTCGAGATAATACAAGAAATTTTCGTTTTATCAGAGAGAAAAATTAAGTATTTTTCTTTGAAAAATGAAGTATTAAGTATTTTTCTTTGAAGACACTTGGTAGGATCTTGCGCCAAGTACAGGCAACCGGCTGTACGAGCAACTGCCGACCGAGACTCTACTCGAAGCAACTCTTGTACTTGTTTATCGAATCAGATATCTTGCGATCCACTAAGTATAAGAAAAAGTTATTGATATATTCATTATAGGAATTGAGGATTCTGAATCGATTGCCACCAAAATCAATCGAGTTGGTGTACAAGATTAGGGCGCACTTAGAGCAAGATCATTTTATTTCAGTTTCGTTCTCTTTTTCACGTTACATTTTTACACGGCGGATGGCGCTAGTTGCTTGGTCTTGTTTATCTTTTTAGATGATGGATGAGGCTGGCAATTCACCAATGCACAATGCAAACATATTTTGTCCGTCAAGCTATCGTTCACACCGAATTTTCAGATAATATAAAGCTATCTTCACATCAGTATGAAATTATTAATTAAGCCTTAGTCCTCGCGAAAAACAGAACTCCACCATTTGTATGCAGTGCGTGTTTATATGTACTTCGACGTAGTTTACCGTATTTTATATAACGGAATTGCTGTTCCAGGGTGTCCAAGTGTTCCTCTCCGTAATTCCTTGAATCTAGTGTAACGCGACAATTGTATTTGCGCGCCGAAATTAAGTCTAGATGCCAGCGCCCTCGTGCCCTCCCACTTATCACAAATTTTACTAACTTCACAAAGGGAAGAGTCTACGTCTTCCCATTTGCTTGTAAGCTGGGAGCACGGAAATAACAGGTATTTACCGTCGATACATAAAAGTTCCTTAATAGGACGATACTTTGTCAGAACTGTATTTCCACCGATCTGTTAGGTTTATGGGCCATCGGCCGATTGCAAAACACCTAATCATTTGGCGGATTGGATTTTGCTACACCAATATCCCACTGAGGGGCACCAGGCGCAACCCAGGCGAATCTCCCCGGCTACATCTGGTCCAATACGATCACGCACTTACCACACTGTCACTACGATTGTCCACGTTCGTATAATAATACATTTTGCGTGAGTGCGTTAGCGAGCGTTTGCGATTTTGTTAAAAAGGCGTTTACCCGTGTCTTGCTACTCTTATTTTGATACGCATTAACTCGATTGCGGATTATCGCTTGGACCGAACGAAGGTTTTATTATCTTTATATTGTATCGTTTTCTCTTTATTGTTTAAATAAAATAAGAATTATATTACACTAGTTTGGCGAGCGAATGAAGTAAGCGAATCCAACACAATAATTTTTTAATACTGGGAAGTATAAGTTTTTCAAAGATTTCCAAATTATCCTGACTTTTGGAATCATGTGAACTATCAGCGTGGAAAACGCCGGAGAAACTTCACGGCGAAGCGTGCAGCGCGCTTATTACTTAAGATTTTCAAATAAAATTTTAATCAAAATTTCTTCGAACTGCATAGAATATGCGCCTATAATATAAAACTTTTGTACTCAATAGCTGAGTCGAAAAAAAATTATTGAATTTCGACTCATTTTTCAGTCGGACACGTAACCCCTTAAGAATCAAGGGTTTACTATAGCAGTACCAACACCATTTTCACAAAAAACCGGGAAAGCTGAAACTTTTCGACAAGGAGACGCGTAGAATGTGTCTAAAAGGCATTTGCTATATGTCTTATAAGAGTAGTCTTTTAATCTATGGCTTTCAGAAATTGCCATTAAATCGCTAGATAATTGCGTAAAATGCAACTGATTTTTCATAGCTGCAGGTAGCCACTTAAAAGTTGTATTTACACAGTACGAAAATGTTAATATAACATACATGCCATCTCTGTTATGCATGCTAGTTGTTAATTTCACATTCATTTTCATGATGCCAATATAACGTCACGTATATAAATGGAAAATTGCAGCTACCATGCACTTTACACATAAAATTGTATATGTTGAAATTTCTATTCACTATCCTCATTTATTCATATCAAATACACGAAGTGAAGTTATCCCGTCCATTTAATTTCTATTGTCCTGGTAGGAGCTCCCAAAGCTGCCAAATTTGCCAAGCTTGAGTCAAGCCTTTGACACGAAGCTTTGGATATGTTTTACATTACGCGTAATAATAGGAGAAAAATGAATTTTACTACATTATTAAATAATTTGTTTAAGCGGTATGACAAAAGGTCTATGTATAACGTTATCGAATCACGATCCATAATTATACTATAACAGTTCTTCCACCGGTGATATACCAGTTCTCAACATATTCAATAAAATTCTTAATAGAACAATCGATACGGTCGCAGTTTACATACTCCAAGGTTCCAAGATTGAATTCAGCTTCCAAGATAAAAACAATTCAATTTCGTTAATTTATGTTTCTAGGATTCAATCTGCATCAATGGATTGAGTAAATTTATAAGCTCAACTTAAATACAGTTAAATTGGCGAAAATATTGTGTAAAACAATATTTTTGTACAACAAATATTTTTGTCTCTAGAGCTTGGTCCAGGCTTGACCGATTTGTCCATTCTTATCAGGGCGGTAGAACCAAATTCAATCAGTAGGACTTTCAAGAAGTTCAAAATAATTCACAATCAATGTAACAGAGAAAAGGAAGACATATGGCGTCTGAAATTCACTGTGCTTGCGTCAAAAGCAAAGCATTACATATTGTATACAGGGTGTTTCTTAAGTCCCGGACAGGAGATATAGCGTTAGATTCGGCGTGAAAAAAAAAAAACATTGGCGTCAACAAAAATCAAAATTTTTAATTAGTTTATTATTTATTAAAGATTAAAGTAAGTAAATCATAAGCGCATGAAAACTGGTAACTCCTCCTCAGTCTCCTCCCATTGGGGACAGCCAATCATTTATTTCCCCACAAAAATAGTGACCGGTGGATACGTAATCGAATATAGTAACGTAAATAAGCAAAAGAATAATACAAAAGGTTTTTTGTGGGGAAATAAATTATTGGCTGTCCGCAATGGGAGGAGACTGAGGAGGAGTTGCCAGTTCTCACGCGCTTATGATTGACTTACTTTAATTCGTAATAATTAATAAACTAATTAAAAATGTTTAATTTTGTTGACGCCAATATTTTTATGTTTTCACGCCGGATCTAACGTTATGTCTCCTGTCCGGGGCTTAAGAAACACCCTGTATATTGTATCAGCCACCTTTGAGCTGAATTTTTTTATTTGTCCCGTTAACTTGACGTTATATTACGCAGAAGGCTACACCGTCTACACTTTGCTTAATTATCGCCATATGTGTCGTTTGGAATGTGTGACAACTAATATCTGAATAATATTTGATGTAATAACGGTTTTGTTTTTCCTAACTACGGCAATTAAACTTCTCCATGCAAATGTAAATATGCGTCGCGTTATGGCAAACAGATGTTTTACCACATGGATAAAAATCGTCTTTCACCAGAAAAAAGCAGGATGATGAATATTTAAATTCTAAAATTCACTGTCATTATTGCAACATAGGTTGTGTCTCAATTCGTTGCATTTGGATAAAAAGACAATGACACTCGTAGTACTAGCAGTGAATTTCAAAACCTTGTTGAAAATATAGTTGAGAGTGATGCTAATGAGGTATATGATAAGGAATACCTGTTCATAGAACTCACCACAACGAGCATTCTCGATTTCGGTGATATACTATTATTTTACAATATTTTTATGAAAAATCAGTGATTCTTGTAAATCAGACAAAAGTCGAATCTCTTCAGATCAGTCGAATCAGCTCAGACTTAAAAATCTTGCTTTTCAATAATTACACTAAATGTTATATTAAAATGTTTTATATATCAAAAAACTATATATCTGATTGTTTACTTCTACCATCAGACCTGCGATACATAAGCGCGAGCTTGATCGTTATGCTTGAGAATTGCCAGAACACTTACAAGTCCGCCACACACGTTGGACGCGATCAAATCTTGTACAGCCCATTATATTCATAGCAAACAAACACACAAATTCCGTCCTGAACATTGACGAGGCCCAATCAATAAACTGTTACTATAACATGAAATTGTTTTTATTTAACTAAGGGTTTTAACACTTGGCGTACTAGCAAACGTTTAGTTTGGGCCCAGATAGGCTTCCGTGGTTGGTAAAGAGTCAATCGCAATGTACTTCAGTGGTTGAACTTGTTGGTGTGCGTCAGGCTGGGTTCCCTTGCCAGGGTTTCCATTATTAGAAATACCTAGTATCAGCCGGGCCGGAACCTTTTCGTTATTTGGGAATGTGTAAATAATTTGGTCGATATTTGATAATTAAATCCGGGTTATTAGATTGGAATGAAATATTACATTTTGGTCTTACATATACAAAAATATATCTGTAACGCACGTGTCGCCATATTTTGCAAACGTAAGATTTACTTTTAATGTTTTCGATTAACTAAATTTATTGGATCAAATGTAAGATTCAGTAGGCTGCTCAATTATCAAATTTCTTCTAACATGAAATATGACTGCGGTGCAAAACTGCATTTGTATAGTGATACACGTAGCACCTGGCGCTTTTTATTATGCCTACCGAGAATGATATTTTTGACATCGTGCTAATAAGACTATAGTTCTATCGAGTCCATTCATTACTGTCAGTTATCTGCACACTCCAATGTATACCACTAGATCTCTCCATTGTTGCCAATATTACTGTAGGTGTAATATAGTGTACGGATGTAAATACTTTTTTTACATTGACTGCATATGTAAATATACGGTATTTTTTTGAATATAGCGTAACGCGAACTTTGGTGCCATGGAAAGGTACAGATTAACTTTATCAATTAAAACTCTATACATAGATATACATTCCACGTTACAGAATATATGGACATGTCTAATTTATTTACATTTTGCTAACGGTACGTTCATGTATTATAAATTTTACTAATACATAATTATATAATCAGCTAGCATAATAACCATATGCAAGCTTGAAATATTCCAGACATTAGCGAGACAGGTGGTACGGTTTATTTTGTGTACCGTCTAGTAATCCACAATGAATTCATGAAATAAAATTTACTACGCAATTGAAATTACTTCTCACAAAGGTCGTAGCCAGTAATCGATTTTACCCTCGCAACGAGAATAAGTTCCGTCCTTGAGATACGACCTTGACCTTAACGACTCACTGGATTTATATCATTCTCAAAATCGCTCGCTGCTTCAATCACTTTATGAAACGCAAACACGTTAAATAGACCTGAAGTTTGTGGGGAGCTAACTCAGAAATAAAATCAATGGACCAACATTAAGATGCATAATGAGTCATTGGTTGGCTATTTGGTTTAGACAATATAAAAATGTGCCAATGACTTTACAACAGTAAAGACCATCAATCTAATTACTTACTACTTCTAGACCTCAAGTATTACATATAAATACTATATATACTGTTACATATGGAATTAAAGTAGTGTATTTAGTTACTTACATATCTCATATATAAAGAAAATTAAGTTAAAATACACAAATACATTTTACGTTAGTGAATCATTTAGAAAAAAAAAATGTATTTGAACAATGAAAATTAAGGTACAATTGCAATCACTGACTCTAACGAATCAACGTTGTCAGACAAAAGTCGCTACCTCCACTTCATCTTAGAAAAGATAATCGTACGGCTCAACGCCAGATTTATCGATCTTTAGTAGTTCAGAAGTAAGCTTCATAATGCATAATATGTAAAAATAACATATTTTACCTTATTCTACGGCAATACAACTATTCCGGATTTATTAATATTTTACGTTAATTCCTAAAATTCGGATAAGAATAACTCACGTGGATAATTCTCTAAGACAAAATAATGTAATTGTAATCAAAACTATTAACAAAATATATTAAATATTGCATTAATGGAATTGTTTTTTGAATGACCCCACAGAAACTCAAACCCAAATTAAGAAACCCGAATGTAAAGATAATTAACGTTATCTGGTAAATTCCATGGCAATACCATGTTCCGTTATATAATTTGTAACAAAATCATTTATACGTACGTACATCAAAGTTGATACAACTGTGCAAAAACTTTTGTAAACGTCAATCGTCATATAATGAATCTTAGTAGGTATATATACATGTGCAAAGTCAAAAAAATGTCATAACTGTAGCTGAGTCCATCGAAATATTATCAAGATGGCAAAGTTCGGGGTTCTCGCTTGTCTACTGCTACTGGCATGCGTAAGTAGCGATATCAATAAACAATAACAAAAAAAAACAATCTTTCGTAATTAACTTCGATATAAGATATTTGGTATAAAATCGATTCAAATGCAAGATTTGCAAAATAAAAATACACTCAATATATATTGTAAATCATCATTAACAAAGTTTTTGATACATTCAAAAACTGCAGGTGGGCCAGGGTGCAGAACTATCGCAGTACCAGTTACAAGTTACAAAAATACAATACAATATTACATCTAAGATATATGATGTAATCGACATTCTTGAAGATAATGTAAAAACATCAACACTGAAACTAAATTCTCTCATCTCAACATTTGACACTGATGCTAACACGACGTGCAGCACCGCGAACTCCACTGTTCAAAGTATTATCAACAACGTGAGTACATTCAATCAACTTTAACTTTCCTTAAAAATTTACAATGAATGGATTTAACTGAATCTAAAAGACTACGTATCCCGTAACAGATAGACGCTCAGACCGCAGCATTAATAAATGCAGCCACTGATGTGAACGCTGCTGAATGTTCCAGCTACTCCAACAACTTCAAGAACGCGGTGACGCTAGTAAAAACCGAATGCAATCAATGCGTTAATACAATAATCGAAAATGTCGAGGATCAGATTACTGCCTTCAAAGCCAAGGTCACGGGGAACCTTTATCAGCTTATGGCAGATATTAAACATGCGACAGAATGTACAAAAGACGTAGGGACAGTATCAAAATGTGAGAGTGCGATTTCCTGTCTACATAATGTGAGTATTCCGATATAAATAAACATATTGCGATGTAGCACTTCGTGCACGTCATCAACTTTCATAAATTTAGTTGACAATGAAGAAAAGTAAAGCATTATACCAAAATCTATTATAGACACGCAACTAAATTTTAAAACTGTGAAATTGCAGATAAACGAGAAAGCTGTTAATGATATAACACAGAGCCAAGAAGCATTCGACGTCACCATTCTTGATACTAACGCAAGAATTAACAATCTTAAAACACTTCTGAAAAATTGCAAAAAAACCGCAACCATCAACAATCTCAACGAACAAACACCCACGGTTATAAGTAACGTAGAGATTTGCATCGCGGAATTACGCACTGATGTGACACCACATGATCCTGAAAAATCTGACGAGGACACTGAACTGGCTTGTAAGGATCCGGCCGAAAATGCTGAAAACGAAGATGATTCAAAGGTGTCTGAGGAATCTGAGCAAGCTGAGGAAGCTGCAAATTCCGAAGGATCTGAGGAATCTGAGGAAGCTGAGGAAGCTGCAAAATCCGCAGGATCTGAGGAATCTGAGGAAGCTGCAAATTCCGAAGAATCTGAGGAA